CACTGTCTTCAACTTAGATCAGATTGTTGATCTATATCATTATGTCTACATCAATCTACATGTTAAATTATATCCGCTCCAATGTCTACAACTTAGATCAGATTGTTAATCTGTATCACTATATCTATATCAATCTATATGTCAATTTATACTCACGCCACTGTCTTTAACTTAGATCAGATTGTTAATCTATATAAATTATGTCTACATTAATCTATATATCAATTTGTATCCACTCCACTGTCTTCAACTTAAATTTAGTAATTAACTATCAAAAGTTATATACAAAAGTTTTGAATTAAACTTTTCAATTATTTAACAGCAGATAATCAGAAAACTCAAACTGTAGACATAGAAATGTTAATTAAAACATTTGTTATATTAAAAAACATATTGAACTGTAAAATGGTATGTTAATTTTAGGTAAATTTTAGGTAAACACTTATAAATGATTTTTTATAAAAATTATAAGACCGCTGTTGATGGGTATTTGGCAATACTCGAAACAGCTGTATGGTCAGCCAAAAATTCAATTAATTAAAATTTATATAAAAAGAATTTTTGTTGTTGTAGTTCACTACTGTTCGAAAAATCTCTTTAAAACTAATAAGTATAATTTAAATTATATTTCTTAATTCAATAAAATCAAATTAACTTTTTAAAAGTTTTAATTTTTTATTAATTATTATTATTTGTATATAAGTATATATATATATATATATTTAAGACTATTTCTTTTTGTCAAATTTAAATGCCTCTATCGAGATACGCATTAATTAAGTTAAAACAAACAAAAAAGAAATAAAATATAAAAAAAAAGAATTATAATCAATTTAAATGAAGTTAATTCAGTTACAAAATAATTAAAAATTATATGCAAGCAAACCTTTTTTGTTTATCAGCTCCTATTAGCAAATTAATCATTAATCTCCAAATTACAAAATGTCAACAAATAATTCATTCATAATTCATTTAACAGGTCAAGGCCTATGATTTTGATTTGATTGCCTATGCAAATAAAAAAATCGTACAAGTATCCGTAGTCATCGGCGTTTGTAGTAGCAAAGGCGTTGTATCTTTTAATTTTGTTAATTTTGTTCATTTACGGATTGGATTCATTTACGGATTGGATTCGTTAACGCATTTCATTAGACGACCAAAAAACAAAAAAAAAATTTATTATTTAAATGCGAATTTGTGCCGACAAGAATTTTCTATTGAAACCATTTTGACAATTTTGTTAATATTTAATTTATTTTAAATGCATCCAATTAATAAATTAAAAAAGCAGCGTAGATATTACAAAAACAAAAAAATAAAAAATAGATAAATATACAAATTTAATGAATATACACACAATATTAAATGAAATTAATTAGGCTTTTGTTTTCTGGGCAAATACTATGGAAATGAATTAATTCATTGCATTTGTTAATTAATTTGTTATAAGCATTTATAATAAATAAAATATAATTTTGTTTTCTTGATATATATAAAGTTTATTTGATGGAATTGTAGCTATGATGTGTTTTGATGTTAGAGGAATAAGATTGAAGTCATTAACGCTTTTTGTTGCACAAGTGTATCTCAGAACTGACAGGAGGCGAACTTGCCTAAGGAAAGTTATTTGTTAATAACTTAATAAATACTTTTTAAATGCTTTTTAAAAATTTTTTATAAAATACATGAACTTTTTTTAACTGAACACTTTTGTTATACATAACATCTTAATTAAAGTTTAAATTCATCTGTATTTGTATCTATAAAAGAATTAATATACATATTATTTTGTTTTTCGTTATTTAACTTTTAGGCTTTTGCATATTTAAATATATTTTTATATATTTTTATTAAACATTTTTTATTTATGTGTCTAGAAAGCATAAAACTTATAATTTTTATTTTCATTTTTATTTGTAAGTTGACTTTATTTTTACAACCAAAAACGTTACCTCTTCGGGTATTAAGGTGGCTTTATTGCCTGAAGAGAAGGTCATAAAGTATTATTTTGTGTGGTTTAATTTTAAAACTAAACTTTAATTTTACAATAATTTTATAGCAAATAAGCCAATCAAATGCTTTATTAATATAGTTGAATGTGGTTTTAATGTATAATAAAATTTATTTTGATTATTTTATTAGGAGAAATTGTTAATGTTAATTTATGTAACGACTGCTTCACATGCTATACTATTAGTGCATAATTTAACATGTTTTTAGATCATCTGGGAATTGGATTAATTAGGAAATAAATTATTGGTGTTAATTTATAACTTTTTGATGTAAGAATAAATTTGAATAAAGATTTGTTGGGATTTTATACATTTTAATTATCAGTGAAAATAAACATTTATGCTCAATAAAAAATTTTAAGGTATTTCCCTATTAGGAGTTTAGCAATAGAAGAAGCTTATACCACAGTGATTTGGAATAAATTCGAGTACAGTAGGTTGATATTGGGTTTATGATGTGACCATATTTGTCCATTTCTTAAAGTGGTAAATTTGTCACATTTTCTCATATTCTGAAGATTAGATATTGTTAATTACTTTTTATGAGTTTTAAATGCATAATACCAAATTTCAGTTTTATTGTATTAAGTGCACATTTATTAGTCTTATTTATTTATATAGTGAGATTGGGTATTTTTCTCTTCAGCAATTTGGACCACAACTATTAGTAATCGTAAGAACTTGCATTGAAAGTAATAATGTTTGACTTTAATAATTATTAAAAAACAAAGAAATCCCCCAGACGTTGTATTATTAAGAATTATATGAACTCATGTAAAATTAAATTAAATAGTAATGATAATCAAAATGCTCATATATCAATTTATATAAAAGTCTTTTACCAAACTGTTCTATATTGTAGCTTAGTTT